ATTCTTGTTTGGGTGCGGTCACACCATGCCCATCTGGAGTGACACACACCCCTGTTACCAGGGTATGTGTAACCCCGTCACAGGAGTTCATGGGTCACGAGAAAATGAAACACACACCGTTTGGAGGATCGTTTTAGAGGCAATTCATTTAAGCCAACAATTCCGGATACCGTCCATGCACATGTATGATGAGGCAAACGCTTCATCCGCAAGATCAAGAATCTTGCAGATTGATCATATCGACACGAAAAATCAGGTTGTATATATGCTGTCGGACCCATAATGCTTCTATTCGTATGCGAGGCAGCAGGTTAATAAGACCAGGCCGATGCCATGTAGCAAAAAGCATTAAGGGCGAGTAGGAGTATGAATAGTACCACCGCTTGATACTGTTGGAAGACGCAGCTGTATCGTAGATGGACGTAATTAACATTTGCTCAGAGAATTGATTAGCTTAATGCTTTAGGTGTTGTAGCTTCATTTTTGAATCAAGAGTTGATATCTTTTCCAAGGACAAAGTTTAATTACACGGTGTTTGAAAGTCCTTGTTGAACTTCTTGTCCTATTAATGGTTTATATACTCGATTACAGACAGAGTAACCGCAGGGGAAAAATTAGTATGGTATAAGCTAGGATGAAGCCATAGATACATAATGAAATGTTTCACTTTAATTATCAATAAAGCAAACACAGCCCGAATTGTGGAAAATGCAAGCTGTTAGCCCGATGGTATTGTCTGCCCTATGCGCAGAATGGGCAGGAAACTATGTGCTCCCCACCTTCCACGAATGTTCTATGTTGGCCATAGAACATGAATTGGTTGAGAATCTGTCGAAATTGTTCTGTAGAATTGATATTTAATCACCGAGTGCCGCTCTTTATGCTGCAGGAGGTTATGTAATCAGGAAAATAGGCCATATGTGTCTAGTTGGGTAATCTATTAAGATTGCCAAAGTGTTCATCTTAGAAGAGAGGCCTTTTATACGTGTGAATTAGTAAGCTTATAACATTCTTAACTCGCTCATTTGAAATATCAATTTTGAAATACTCTGCTGACACAAAGACCACGAGTCATACTTTTACGTGACCAAGACGCTACGTATTACGTCAGAGTCGAGTGATCGACAACCATCCTAGATCAGCTTCTGAAATATTTCATTCGCTTCTTTTCTTAACGACAGATATATACATCATATTTTGATTTGTGCGAACGTGTATGTGGAACTCAAGTTTGGAATGCACCGATCGCACTTCTTTGCAAGCCATTTGCTTCATCTGAAACAGCATGGGCTCTTTCCGAAGTTTAGATCTTTCGAAGGCTCATCCACAGGTACAAGAATCCAAGCGTATGCGAAGACTGGCATAAGTTGTGGCAAGTTACATGTGTCACCCATCGCAAACAATTCTATATAAGTAGCTATTGGTGACAAAAGGAGTCACAAAAGCCTCGACATGAAGAATCACTCGCTCAGAAACTGTGACGATCTATTCTCCAAAAAGCCGTTTTAACAAGTGACTAGTAGGTCGGTCGCCAATGAAATACCCACATAGATGATTTGAATCAAAATTTAGAACTTCCAGACGATAGGACAATCGACATATGCATAGTAGATAAAATTTGTCGTCTGCCACAAGGCCGTGTAGTCTTTGAACGATACAAGAGAAAGGGTCGATATTTTATGAGTGGCTGGACATCATGATACTCTCAAAAAATATCAAAGCCATCAAATCTGGATCTACAGAGCGAGATAAAGCCATTCCACGTCATCATCGTTACTTTGAACAGTACCATCAAAGAGCAGAATCATGAACGAAGAGACCATCATGATAAACCTATGCAGCAATTTTTTCGTCGGTGACTAGACTTAACCAACCATGTTACGTACACTGATCAGGGTCCGTCTTGATATTTAACCTTTATGGTCTGTTTTAAGCAAGTCACACTGCATTTTTTTATCACCTCTCGAACGGAGCACAGAAATTACGTCTCAGCCGAATACATTGACGTCCTGCCGTACAATCGATACTCCCTCGAAATCTATTGATTGCTGACTTTTTTAAAATGCTCTGACGCTTGTGGCCGTATAATTTTATACGACTCGACAATAAACGTGCGTGGTCCGTGTCTTTAAGCACCAAGTTGCCTTGTTTTTCTTGTGGTACCGCTTCTTAGTCCTCGTCTCTTCTTTAGCCAACGACATTTATCATGTTTTAATAGGTTGCACTTGAACAGCGAGTGAAAGATAAAAAAAATTCCAGAGACTTACAAGTACGCTACCTCCCGCAATCTTTAATTTCAGACTTTAAATTTTATAGGAAACATTCAATTTGTTAGTCTATTGTCTGATTAATCTAATACGTTAGAAATAAGGAAAATTAGCTTGTAGTTAGGCTTGATTATTCACAATATTGTGAGAATTATAAATCGCTCGGGTCACAAAAGCAAAATAATGGCAATTTGATCAATTTTGTCAATAAGTTTTGTCAATTTTACACATTCATGGATATTGAGATTCCTTAGGCCTTTTAAGTGCTTTGGTGATGACAGTGACGCAATTCTTTGTGTCTGGCATGCGATCAATATCATGCCAAATTTCCTCACCTACTTTTGGTGTGGGATCATACAGACGATTGTTCCGCCCGAAACTGGAACATTAAGTTAAAAAATATATTTCGCTTTCAAACCGTATTAAAATTCGATAAATACATTTCGGGGCACCATGGTCACTAGACCACAAAAGACCGGAACGAGTATAGAAATGTTTCACAGGCATAAAGAAAGCAAGGAAAACAATTGGGGTCGAAGAACTTGGTTGCTTGATGTGTCGAACTAAAGTATCACTTTATTTTAAGTATTTACATATCATTTGAGACTAAATATTATCCCTTATTCATAGCAGCATTTCAAAGAAATAAAAATGAATTGAAGCACAAATTGTCACGAGATTTTGTTCGTGACCACCGTAAACAGTTGCATGTTGAGAAATTACCCTCATAGCATTCGTTTGAATACCACCAACATGAGAGCGAGGTGACTTACGAAAGACGAGACCGTCTCGGCTATGATGAATTGTTCTACGACAAGAAAACGTTCAATTTAGCAGTGCAGTTGAAAATTTGTATCCTCGAATATCATCTCAACACTATATTCAGATTTTTTTTCAGCAAGCTACCCAACATTCGGCACATTCATCAAAATTAATTCTATCGTAGACAGTTGTTCTGCTCACGCAATCATCTTGTAGCGGTGCTACACATATTCGTTTCGAATCCATTTCTTTGCACATACTTATTGTCTGAAATTTTTATTTCTGGAGGGCTGAGAGGTCTTAGCAATGGAGAAAAAAGGCGTGTCTTTATATCCCGACAACATTACAATTCACATTCATAATAACTCATCGAGTTCTATATGGAATACATCGAAGTAGCGCACTACATTATGATAACAATCTTTTGAGCTTTGGAAGTTTTCAATGAGACAGGATAAATTTCAAAATATTGTGAAAGTTTTCATTCAAGTAGTCGGTATTGTACACGAGAGTGACGAGACTATACTCCGATTTTTGTAGAACAAATGACTCATCGGTTCACCCCGTTTGATGTCTAGACTATCCAAATCTCTGGCTTCGTTCGTGGTGATTTGCATCCGGCAGCATTATCAATGTTCTTTCATAACATTTGGTGGCTCGTTCTAATTACTGCAATGGTAACAGTATACGGTGTACAAGTGGAGAAATTTTCTACTAAGCAAAGCTCCAAAGCTGCTGCTACGTCGGACACGACGAATCTGTATACTGTAGTAAAATGTTCAATTACGTCAATCACGTGACAATTCATGCTATAACGCGGTACTCCCGACTCTGTATATATTATGTCGCAGAACAAACGGCCAAGTCTTATTGGTGAAGGTCACTCTAATCCTTTTGGGGCAGTTCCATGGTCTCTTTCGCCTGTCTCCCGCAATTGCCTACGTCAGATTCCGCCCAGTCCACTGCAACGCGCAATCACCAAGTCGACCACCATTTGTCGTTTTTTACTATCTATATCGCGTTGTATCTACTTGCAAAATGGATCCCGACCACCATCTTCGCATTATGTTCGACAGTGACGGTCACAAAGTCGTGGAACTTCCGACTGGTGGACGTGTTGCAGTACCATACGATCCGCTTTGCGAAGCTGAACGTGCTGCTGCTGAGGCAGCGCGAGCTATTAATCCACCAGATGAGTTACGATGTCGATACAAGAGTACGCGCTGCAACAACTTGCGTGCTCAAAAACGAAGTGGTAACTTGCACAGTCTTTGCCAAATGCACCGCGACCGCGCTAATCAAAATCAGCGTAATTCTGAACTGCGTAAACGAAGTGGCGAGCAATTTTCACGCAGTCGACAGCGATCTCTTGTTAATAATCAGGAAAATGTCAGCTTCAATCGGGATAACTTGAGTGACCAAACGATGTTAAATTCCGAAAGTCCTCAGATTCCGATGCCCGAGCCACTTCAAGGCACCGATGGCTTGCACCTCGAACCGACGTACGATGAGTTGAAAGAGACTGCAATGCTGCTAAGCTATGATCGAGACCAGAAGTAAATTAGGTATTCATTGCCGTACCTGACCAATATACGTTATTGTTCACATTGATTGCATTGATGCAATTTTGCTGTACCCATTTCTCCAGTTTTTATGTTTTTATGTAAACCACACATTAATTCCGCATTGCTACCTAACGTGACCGCAAACATTTTCCTCGAAGATATGGAGGTTGGTGCTTGATTGATGGCAAGATATTAAGGAATATTACAATGCCTCGAGAAAGCGCATGAATCAGCAGCTACACTTCTTGAGGCTTCAAGGAATGAGTACAAGGCATATGGTTAACGAGGAGTCTTAATTAAGCTTCGAAAGAGAAACTAATGGAAACTTTACGAAGACTTATGACGAATAGTGAGAGAAGAGAAGCCGCGGTATTGGAAGTGATTATTGCTGTAACATATAGTTGTATTGATGGCTTATAAACACGAAGCAATTATGGTGTCACCCAGCTCACGAGTTTTATCCGTGACAATGGTGACGAAATTTAGTACAGAATGTGGCCGGCTGCGGATGATATGGCCAGTGCGAAGAAGAAATGCGTCGTTGCGGGATCGTCTGCTGATGAGATTCTTAGACAAATAAAGCCGAAATGTAGACTTGTAAAGAGTCGGAAGCGCGCATCCGCAGACCAGGGTACAATGGCGTCGTCTCAGACAACTACAATGTTTGCTGAGCATCAAATTCATTGCAATTGCCTCCGCTGCACCTCCTTCAATACCTTACAATCTTAGAAGCATATCTTCGAAAAAGCTTATGTGCAAAAGGCCAACGTTTCACCAATTATTTATTACGAAAATGTACGGTCTCACTTCTTTGCAAACGCTACAGAGAGCATTTTATTCATTCTGTCGCCACATTCGTTGATTTCGATAAATGACCACGATGGTTCTTACATATCTCGAAAGTATGGAATACCTTGTGTATAGCAGATCGCTTGATAAAATTTATTTGGTTGAAATTTCAAGTTCTGTACGCCAATTGTTGTCGAGTACAGGTTTTCGTTTCGCTGCCCATAATTTCAAACGCAGACGTGGAGACTTCTGTGACACTAAGCTGTTCAACTCACGGCGTTACGTGTGAGTTATGTGAGCTTCGTTCGACCTTCGCAACAGTTCAATTGCTCAAAACTTTGGGGACGTTACGTCCGAGTAACTTCGACACTCGCAGCAATCTCGAATGCTGTTCCGCTAGCGCTTACAAGCGATGCATCGCCGTAAGTAGCTCCTTCTTCTTGGCGGTACGCACACAGCTGCAATCATTATCTGCTGCTATTCTATCTTGGCTATGATTTATCCTTGAATGCACCTCGGCATTTATACGCTTTTTGTCGTGCTTCCCGTCTTCTTTGTGCATCAGTACAGCAAACATTTCTCACCATTTTTTCATTTTTTAGTGTGCTACTCCTTTCCAGAATGCTATCATGACGACTACCATCGTGGGTGCGTAGCATAATCATTATATTTTATTCTAATCCAAAAAAGTAGAACGAGGCGATCAAAGCACAATGTTGAGTACTGCAAACTTCCTCAAAGTGAAGATTCGATGCTAAAAGGCCTGCACTATTTTGCTGCAGCCAATGGACCACCATTTCGTCTCATATCTTTTTCTTCAATCGAGCTAAAGGAAGAATCAAGTATCTTGATCAAGTATTTCTGCGTGAGCGTAATGCGGATGTGGTGGCCTTAATTTAGCTTGCTCATAAGGAGCATGATGCTGCTGGATAAAGGGCATATGGTTGATTGAGCGACGTGGTATTAGTTTGACTATTTTGGTGAAATCTGGTAACTTTCTCTATCTCTCAAGAATCTATAAAATGCCTAATAGTTTGTTTCAGTATCCGGAGTTGCTGCCTCAATGGTCCTAATAACAAAAGGTCTGATAGAGAGTCACATTGATTGTTTTTCCCTACTCCACTACTGACAAGTCAATTTCATACATGTAGAGTAGAAAATCTGCCGTCCACAATGCTCCGATGCTCTTCAAATCCAAATTCTTACATTCGTCGATTGAGCAATTCATAGAGGCTTCAGTCTGGTAAGCATAATTAAGTTGAACTTGTTTCCATTGAACTTGTTTCCAAGTCTCTCCCTATGACCTTGCAAAAATTTTGACATGAGCGACAAAACGGCATTTTTAATTAGTCCATTTCCGAATTCGTGAAGGCGAAATAGGGTACATTCCTCCAAGAACATGAACAACCAATCGGCCAACATCATCAACGCAACGATGCATCTTCTGGTCGGTAATTCACCACATCATCGATCCATACGCCTTGGTCGTCCAAAAACTCTGACACAAATTTTAGGGATATAGACCACTTTCTGCAACCAATGTCGGCCAGCGCCTTGTTGCAGTTTCACTGCATCACTCATCCTTGTTAATGATTGGATCAGTTTGTCGATCTCTTCCTGTTACTAGGACATTTAAAGTGGTTTCATTGCAAGACTTTTGATGTTCACGCCATCGACCAGCCCAGAACTCGCAGTTGGTCGGTTTGCACGACGTTCAAAAAAGAATTTTTACATAGTGTTAAATTTATGATCGCGTCTACGGGCCCGTCGCTAACATCTCGCCGGTATTTCGGCACATTTTTACGATCATTGTCTTCTGTTTGCACAGACTGCTTGTTGACAAAACATAAATATGCCTTGATAAAAGTAATACATACCTTTTTGGCAACCAGAATATTCTTGATGTTTCGATAAATCGAAAGCTAGAGAAAATTAATAAACATCCACTGTCTGAATGCAATCAGGTTATTCTTGGTAGACGAACAGCCATTACAACTGGAGAAAATTCGGAGACTTGTCCATTAAAATTGAAATCAATCTTACCCGTGCCAGCCAACTCTTTTGTCGACTAAAAGACATTTGGTACCTGACAGAACGAGACAGATATTTTGAAACCATCTGAGATAGAATGATTCTCTGAATTAAAACAATATCCCAAAGTAATTTTTTTCCTTATTATGTTCCAGGTCCGATAACTACAGAGCGCAAGTTTGGGCTATGCCGCACTAATTAACTGAAAAGCAAGTATTTTATTGCGGTTTCAATAATTTTTGTACTTGAAATGCTCGCTTCTAAAGACTTAAATTAGGATCCTAATGTGATGGCAATAAAACATGAACATTTTAACAATTTCTTTGTCAAAATTGAAAGGTTTGGATTTGTCCATGTTGCCCAACATAGTAAGTAGAACTCATGCTGCGCTGGACGATAGATCACCATGTTTTGATCTTTTGTATTCGGATACGAGCACACTTCTGTCCTGTTTCTTTCCTCCTTGTCATAGTATACACAGATAACAACCAATTTTGACAGCACGAGCTTTTTTGAAAGCGTCAAGTATAAATTTGAGGCCATATGTCAGCTCATGGATAGGCCGAAACCTCGTGCGAGAACAGGAAAGAGGACCGATCGAGAAAAGATGTGCAGAACTGAAATCACTCTCGTGAAAATCTCAATATTCATTTTTTGCTTTAACTTGAAAAGTATACCCAATTTTGATGGTAAATAGCTACTTTACATATTATTTATTGAAGTCAATATTTCAGTTTTATTAAATAAGGCATTATGAAAGATCAATCGAGGAGTTTACCATGCACATGTCATACCAAAAAATGCAACCAGAGAAAATAGACTTTCAAACCCTTCGACTGTCTGATATCCCATGCTGACTAGAAACGTATAAATCTGGCGATCTTGCTTGTTTGTGCTTCAGAAGGATCAGTTTAGTTGATAAAGTACAAATGTTTCTGCACGCTGTGACTATTCATTGATTTATGCAAGAGTGGGTATGAAAACTCAGATGTCTGTAACCTTGTGTGCAAGATAGTATGCATTTTCAAACTACAAGAGTACTTCTTGTCAGTTTGATTTGTACATCATTGTCCAGAGCTCGAAGCTCAGATTTTTTGGTCATTAATGTCAACATAGCTGTATTTTACAGCCAAGAGAAGCCTTAATACATTGTGCAACGCTACTGTCGATTACAGTATAAACCGGAAACATATATCCGAGCAGCATGCAACGTCGATCATCATTAACTTGACGAAGGCGCATCAAATACCCCAGATGATGTTCAGAGCCTTTGATAGCAGAATGAGGAGCGCAGTTTGCTCTTAAATCATTAAAGATCCGATCCAAGTACGATCTGACTATAATGCAATGGAGGTCGAGCCTCGCACTTCACTACTGATAGAGCTTTGATGAGTCATGAATACATATCGACTAACACTCTAGCGCGAACACGCAGCTGCGGCAGCTCTGATGAGGAACACCAGATCATTCGAGAACATATAAATGGTATTTCTTGAAGCCTTAATCAAGGCTCGGTAGGCAAGCGAGACTATGTCTCGTAGAATTCAGAGTAATCCCTGCTGCAACATTATATGGACAGTTATGAGCTGAGGACACGAGAGCTGATCTCTGGCGAGGTGAAAAAGGAAACGTAGCTGTATGTCGCGGTCCTCAAAGATTTCGGCTACCAAAGCTTTCAGGCGGCTTAATAGCCGGTCTTCATGATAAATTCTCGTGGAGTCAGTGACTGCAAGTAAATGGTACAAGGATCAAAAAAATTTCATGAGGGTAATCCATCATTGTGTCACAGTTTAATCCATCATTGCGTCACAGTTTAACAGTACAGTTGGATCAGCAATACCGTCGAGGATTTGTGGTAACCACGATTGTGAACTTTGGAGAAAAAAAATATCCCACGTATAGATTCCTAAGCCTGAAGGATAAAGCCCAGAGGTTATGAGCAAGTACTGTTAGATTGAGACTGTAACGCCGAGTTGGTACTGAAATTACCGAGGGACGATTCTAGCTCATCATTCAAATGGATCAGTTAGTCGCCGAGGACATCGAATCAGCGCTGAATTCCAAAAGCAGATAATTAATTTCAAGGATCCTATGGATCTATTTCATCTTTTGTTAAAGGAAAAACATGAGGACAAGTGATTCGCGACGCTATGAGATCTAATTAGGACCTTTGTCATGAAATCGACATGGTTATTAAATCAAACATTTCATTTGACACTAGCAGCACTCACGAAGCAAGCAGAGCAACGTCACATACGCAGCACGAAGAGAATTTGCTAAGAGAAAAAAACATCTTCACTTCGCGCCAAGTTTCTGCTTCAAAAAATGTTAAAGACAAGTTGCGAATTGTACATGCTTAAAATAAGCTTCACTTTGGACTGATACATCTTTTAAAGACATTCGCGACCGAAAGACTAGATACTATCAACCTCGAGCGTGATGTACACAAGAAACTCGCTCGTTCCCAGTAGTCTTCTCGGTGCCTATTACATGTTTTATCCTGTGATGGGTCTCTCGATCGGCTCTGCGCAAATAATCAACCCTTTTTATCGCTCAATCGGAGAGCCGAAATTCAGTTCTTGATAAGTACACCATAAATCACAAATTATTTTAATTTATCATTCAAGTTTCGGCTATGATATCTCAAACATAAGACATTACCCAGTATTTTTTCGTGTCCGGAGGATAAAAAATTGACAGCATTAGCCGATGATGTCTTACCCACGACAAGTTAAAATTCGCCTGGAGTCGGTTTTCAAGCATTTTTGTGGCCGGTTAACGCCTCCACGCTACAAGAAACCTTTTCCATGCCTTCGATTGCCAACTGCGCTGCTATATCACGACCAATACAATAGGGTTGTACTGCGTATGATTTTGATGCATATGGTGAATTGAACGAGCACTTTATGCTTCATATTTTAGTGATAGCAGTCTTATTTGATCCCTGTCGTCGGATTGATGACTCAGTGCATTTAGGTTGCCGCTAAACTTGTAAAGACGATGCTTTGACCCAGGGTTTGCATCCAGACTGTCCCTAGGGCAAGGGTCCTCGGTTCTAACAGTCTCCCAAGACGCCCCGATACAAGAGTCTCTTGATAGCCAATTTCTATGATTGCTCAAACTATAGAGTTTAGAAATACATTAAGAGTTAGGCTGGTCTATCAGTATATTCGCAATAATAAAAAATCTATCCAAAGCACTGCTAGAAATTATCGACTCACGTATCCTACGCTTCTCCTTTAAATCACTTCATCCCATGCCGAGTACTAATCGAAATTTCTATAATAGTACGTTCCCACAGAAATTTCGAGTTATGAGGTTGAAGTTGTCAAAAAAATAACTCTGTAAGGTGTATGTACAACATAAGAGAATATAAGCTCAACTCATCCAAACTAGATGGTAGATTCTATTTTCTTGTTACCTTCTAACAGAATGTTCTCTATACTTATACAACAGAGTCTTCAAATCCCTAAAAATTGGTGTGTATTTTTCACCGGGTTATATGTATGTGGTTGGCTTTGAAACCTCCTTATTCGCTCGTCATGTTTTTGTTCGCCTCGACACAGCCTTATATTCTCACTTGCATGATGAAAATATTTAGAAATTCTTACGGAAGCCTATTATTTGCGTCAAACATAGCGGGTAATACGCCATACAGCTCGCGATAGAGGATTCGGTTAACAATAGACGTAAGCATCAGCAGTACTGATGCTTACGGCAAATACTTTGGCTTTGCAGTTTCATGTATCTAGTCGTCGTTAGCGAGCCGTCACATCATACATGCAAGTCTTTACATTGCCGAAATTAATTAAAATATACAATCGTAATAACAAATTTTAACCAATGTTAAGCCCGCATTCGCATTGAGACCATCGAGATTTGACCTATGCATCTCTGCTTTGCCTGGTGGCAGGTTTTTAAGCGTAGACCGCAATATCTCGGATCGCTCAATTGCGAGCTAGCTATTTCAATAAATACTTCTATGCGTAGCTCTCAGGTGTGCATAATCGGCTAAAACTGTACTCTTAGACTGGTTTCATCTTTTTGATCCTACACTGCGTTTGCATTTTCCTCGCCATCGGCTTGTTGTACCGCCCTGACTGGTTGTTCCTGCCATTTACAATCTAGCGAGGTTGCGCGATTAGGGAGGTGCCCAAGCATATAAATTAGGTACAGCTACGTTGCGTTTGTATATTTGGATGTAACTTATTGTAAATAGAGCTCTTGTAAAGCGTTACGTCTCATGACATCGTATTCGACCCCAGTGTTTGAGAACGCGAAATCTGCTTTTTCATGTCGGTTACAGTATTTTATTGCTTTTCGAGCTCAAGAAATTGTGATATACAAGTCTTTATAAGAACATGTTTTATGAATCAATGATTTGGACAGCAATATACCTACCAACTCGTTCCTACAAACTGCAACACTTAAAGGAAACTAAGATGGGCATATCGATGCATTACTACTTCTCGATACAGTTTATACCTAAGAACAGGTGTAGCTTTTGTTCATATTGTGGCTTCACTAAACGCAAACCATGACAAATACCATTCTACTTGCTTTGGTTTTGTGTATATTTCTCATCATATGTTATACTAAATACTCATCATTTTGCTACGTCAACCCTTAAAGGCTTTAACATGGGCAACATACTCAGAGTTCATTTGCATAAGAGGTATACCCAGCATTTTGTCGTGCTCCTTTGGATAAGAATAATAAGCAAAGTTTGCCGCAAATTGATTTAAGCACATTTCTTCTCAAAGGATGCATTCGCAGCGACATTATGTATCCGATCTGTTTTTTGCCAGGGTTTCTTCTGTAGTCTGGGATTGAATGCCGCAAAGCCGTGTATTCTTCCGTGCCGACGTGTTTGCCTGTCGACTCAAGTGACTGACTACAAAGTTTGAAGTTTCGTCTAAATTTTGAACTGTCGCTCATGTGTCTATCCCGAAGTGACGCTGCATCACCAACAGCACTATAAAAAAAATTTCCAAATTTCGTAAGAGATCATTACGAGTGTGACATCTTAGAATGCGCCGTACGCAACCATTCAAGTGGGTCTGAAATTTAGACTGAGAGCATTACGGGGCTTTGTGACAAGTTACAGCATCTCGGACTGCCACATTTCGGCACGATCAGTAGGGTCATCAATCGGTACCCCTTATGGAGATCTGGTGGAAACACCGGCGACTTTATTTCAAGCAATAGGTCAAAAAGGCTCCTGGCTGGATCAACTTACAAGCGTCTTTTAGGAAACAGACATCCAATGGTACGTCGGTGCTATTGGAATCAGTTTCAATCGAAAAATGATGTCTGAGTTTACGACGGTCAAATCACGATGTCAGCATCGAGGTGAGCGCTTGACCTAGCCTCCACTTCGTACTGAAATTAGTCACACTTATACCCACGAGCCTGCCGATACAGCTATTTTCCAAACTTCTAACTCAGAATTACCCCGGGTCCAAGGAATTGGTAGAGCCGCCCGAGCGGCATCGTCGCTTACAAGATATATGGGATGGCAGGAAGATTGGCACCTTAGAACCGCCAACTACGCCTGATCAGTCTAACCGAGGTCAAGACTAAATTCTCAAAAGCTCCAATGGTGAGGGCATATCTCGCCTGTATGATGCCAGATACTGATTGCGACTGTGAAAAATAGCCAAGCTACGATCATTTTTGATGTGAAAATGAGTCCATTTCATCGAATGCTACCGGGGGAAGGGGTCGGCTCTCGCGTGACAAGCTCGTCTGAGCTTTCGGCCTTGAGGGACGTTGACCTTCCGAGTATCTCATAGTGGGTGCTATGAGCGAGGTCTCAGAGGCCCGTAATTCGATTCAATTGCTTGAGGCACTCATAGCGGCTCAACATTTGTTATTTGATTTAGAGCTGAAAGTAACTCAGCTGCAGAGGTCAGTCGAGAAGTCACTTCTTGTCTCCACGATCATGTAAAGTATCAAAGCAAAATCTTAATCTTGCTTAAGCAAATTCACACTGAGCACGTAGTCTCGTTGCACCCGTTGTTGAGTATCGAAAGTGAACCCAAGTTCTGTTTTGCTTAACTTTGAAGATAAAATGTAGCAAGGGCAGCTTCGTATAATTTAGTGGACACAGTATGGGTAAATAGATTGACAACGTTTCATAGTCTATATCAAAGCTATATGTGCCATCTGCCTTTATCATTTGCATATAAAGCTGCATATTTTGCAAGTCGGTCAAACTTTTGAGCACTTTGTGCATGCCGCGCAATCTCGTCGAATGAAAACTGTTTCCTCTGCTGTAAAGTGCAGCCGGGACGGTTCAGCATGTCAATTATTGCCGACACGAAGACCGTTAACTTATGGGGGAGCGAAAAATCTATGTTGAAAGATGCCATATAATTAAATTGATGTGATACCGGTAAAGGTGGGAGCTGCATTGTTTGGGGGCAAAGTCAATGAATGAAAGCATGTCACCCCAACATCTCCGTTACTTAACAGACGTGCTACCAAAAATATATTTGTCCGCGTGAACGACGCATTTTAGATCGACCGCCAATTTATAGATGGCCCCCTCTGAGCCTATTCAGTTTGGTGTCAAGAACATTGATCAAAGCTTGCCAAAATATTACTGTTATACGTAGATCGCAAAATGAGATGCTTGCAACAGACAAATCATGTAAATAACATGCTTTATCGACAACCAACTCAGTCCTATCTTCACCGGTGGTAATGTCGCTAACATAAGATAAACGTGCAATATTGTTTAAATGGTCCGCATAGACGGCAATATTGGTACATGCGGAAGCGCTCTTAGATAGACCAAAGATGAGTTACAGGGTAGCATTCTTCAGAGACTGAAGAATATCCTAATGGCGCTGAGATGTTCGATAAAAGTTTTTTCCACTGAAACGGTCCACGCGTGTGCACATTATTGCGCAAGCTATCAAATCTTAGGCCTTCAGCTAATAGTGCCCGCCATGTCGTACCTCTTTTCTCGTTCGAAATATCCTCGTAGCAGAGTATCATGCGCATCGAACATCGTTAACAATATCACACGTTGTGCGACATCCTGAGCTGTTTTGGATACAGCAGACCTTTCGGAAACAGTTTACGGGCCGACAAACGCTTAGTCGAAACCATTCTTGTTTCCTTGAGAGTTAATATCGCAAATATAGTCTGCCCCTACGCCATATGAATGTTGTCGTTATTGCGTGATCTCCTAGGCGTGATCCGAGATTACTTTAGACTAAGCGGCATTCAATCGCGTCGGCAGCCGCATTAAGCTGACTTCACATAAAGAAAATTCTGCAAAAATAGATATACGACCAATATGTGCGGTGCAATACCACCGTGCGTAATGGCGATAACCACAAATAGCTGAAATATACCGTGTTGGCCAGAGCATACTTATGGCAAAACACCTTCTTGATGTAGGTAGGGTAGTTTCTCTCTAGCTCTAAGTTAGTGAGATCTAAGCGCAAAAACGCATTCATGTCCATCGGACTTTGCGTGAAGGACAGTACATTCCACGACAAAAGCTAAAACATCACAAACGACGGGAAATGGCAGATTTGAATTCGAGCTTGAACGCGCTGCATGTGAGGCGTCGTTTGACGGTCCGGTAGGCTGCTCCTCTCATCTAAGCACCAATCTAAATTTTCTCGAGGGAGATATGTGGGAGGATGTGCCATGTTTTCAAAATTTACACAACGCTTGAGCCAGCAGTAGGCCGGACAAGCCACCTCCATGACTTAGATGGTATGACCATCATTTATGCGAATTTCACCTAGAAACACATCGTTCACACCGAGTGTCAAAAAGATTTTGTAAGCAACAAGGACGCATATTTTTAACTTGGTGAATATCGCATTGATGCGCGTGTTTTTCAGCGCAGCTCGTCAGTAATAAAAATGTATATCTCCACCAAAACTTTCGTGCTATGGACGAAATTGTCAGAATGGATATTTATATATGCGCGATGAGTCATGCACGACTGCGCCACCAGACGGACCAGCATGGCTGGCGCTTGATAGTGCCCTGGGTTATAACCGGCCAGTCTTAGATAAAAAGATTCATTACACTTTAGGGGGTGCTTTCCTTTTTCCTGCTACCTATACTATGGACTTGATATGCATTTGCAGTTTTTCGGTGGGGCCGACTAATCAGTCAAACTAGTATACTGAAACCAATTCAAAATGTAAACCTGGTATAACCAGCTTTGACACGTTGCCCGGTGTATACCTGGGTGTCTAGTGGCTCAGTGGTCGATAATTGGTCTGGGATCAGTTTGGTCCCTGGATCAATACCGGCCGCATGAAAATCTTGGTAGATTAAAACCCGGCGGTTGGGATTCGAGAACTCGAGAATTGGGAGTCTACTGAACCAAAAATTGGGAAACTTGGGGTAATTGTCGCGTGCAAGCGCTTCTTGGGACTCGAGGCATAATCAAGGAACTAGCTTATTTCGATCTACCTTCGGGTAAGTCTCAATACAGTCAGGCTTAGAGTTTGACGGGTGGAACCTGCCCCCGCCCATTTATAATTCCGCATAAGCCGTTTCAAGGAGCCGGATGGGATTATTCCTTGTGAACGAACGTTCCCGGTTGGCATTCTCGACTTGGTGTGTATCTATACTGGGTTGTCTTCAAGTTACAATCTCTGTCTACAAGATGATTAGTCATTCAGTGTTGCTGGACTGGTATCAATACCCATGCCTTCATTAGCTGTTTAAGCTGACGCAAGTTGAGCGCAGAGTGACGATGGCTTTTTGCTTGCAAATCGTGTTGGTACGCTTGGAGGTGAAGCTTGAGTAGCGCTGTTATTCAAGCTCGCGTGTCGATATAATTTGAGACTTGGTCATGGAACCGCATCTCCTTGCGATGCATCCAAATGCAGCGGGTTACAATGGCTCGCAGAAAGTTCAATACCACAAAGAGAGTAGAGCCGTATTTATTTTGGCTTCCTGGGTAGGCTGGAGTCGGGAGAAGTACAGGAGTGTTCCCCAGAAAAGCTCGCTTACAATACTGCTTTGAAAAGACTGGAGAAAAGGGAACCATACTTATGAGGCAAAGGGCAAAGCCAGAGCAGGGGCTGAGGGTCTCAAGGTGTTCACAGTCGAAATGGCAAGTTGTCTTGGCGTCTTGGATATGCTGGAATTGATAGCCTAAATACAAGGCGTTGTGTTGGAGTCGGAAAAGAAAGTCAGCATAGACTGGGAGGAGATGCTTGTTTAATTTTAGTTCTCGTTTCCAGAAGTCGGGTCCAGGGGCTGCCGAGATTTAGTAGTCGCTGTAAGGGCAACGCAGAGATTTAAGTACCTTCCGGACCTTAGCAACTGTGAGGTCCTCTAGTTGGTGCTCTCCAATGACCCAGTTATGGAAAGCACTTGCAAATACTTTACTTGGACGAGGGCCGTCAGGTAAATGACGGAGTACTCGAAGCGTAATATCACAATCTACGAGAAAGTTCCTGCAACATCGTGTGTTATACGCTCTTGAGTCACCTGGACGTTGAATTGCTTTGGCAAGTGACGCCGGTGTAGGTGTATTACCACAGAGACCGTATATATCTTCTGTCGTATAGAGGTGGAGTTGAGCGAGTCTCTGTACGAGTGCCAAGGGTCTTGCAGCTAATGTGCGATCTTGGCTTCCATGTCGTATTATGGCGTTGGCAATAACGGCATAGACAATAAGTCGAATCCGCTTATACTGGCTGTTATCTTGGGTCTCAACTTTGTATACCACACTAACAGACCTAGTGCCAGAAGCTGCTTAGAGCAGACCAGTGATTTTTGCGTCGGGTATTGGCGTTGTTGGGACTGGTAGTTACCGGAGCATACAGGATATCGAGGGGCTGGCCCCATGGTGTCATAGCCTGATGAAAGACTTCAACAACAAGGGACACCCACGTGAGTGATGGTATTATCGCACACTGTTAATCACACGTACAAGTGCATGTACTTGTAGTGCGTTCACAGAGTCCTAGATTTGTGTGAGACCGAGACCTCATTTGAATCTTGGTGTTTACCGCCAGTCTGTGGCCGGGATAGCTGATAATCCGGAGCTAGGAGTGCTAGAGTTACTTAGAAAGGTCGCAATGACACTCTTGATTTGATGTTGGAAATCGGATTGCGGGATGTGACATACACTGGCTGTGTACCAGAGTGTGGGTAACACATTTTGCTGAAGCAACGCCACTCTGCCGTTTAAAGTCCTTGCGCGGTGTTTCCACACTGTACAACGGAGCTGGATATTAGCAATGAGATGGTGCAGCCAATCTGAATTGGAAAGTCGCGGTCCATAACGTATACCGAGAGGCTTGGCTTCATTAGCATTGTCAGTGACTAGTACCCCGAGTTGTTGCAGCTGGGTATGGAGTACTTGATCGTCATCTGTCCATTCTTGAAAAGGTAGTATGACAGCCTTGCGTGTGTTCTGCTTCGTACACACCGCCGAACAATACTCTTGGACACGTTGTAGAACTGAGGAACAACAGAGAGGTCATTGAGAAGTCCTGTACAGTAATCTGCAAAGCTGATAACTGTGTGGGGTTCCTCTGAAGCTGGTAGCTTGAGACCGTGGGGCTTGAGCTGGATGCGGAGATAGTCCAAAAGTGGCTCAATGTAGAGTTCAAATTACGGCGGCAAGAATGGGTCACCTTGCCGTACTCCTGCACCCAGTGCGAAATGAGGCAATGAAGCACCATTGAAGAGACTCAATACAATAGTGCCTCGAGTCATTACTCGAATCCATTCCTGGAAATTGGGACCAAACCCAAAGTGCCTCAGTATCATCTCGAGTGCATCCCACACAACACTGTCAAAGGTTTTGGCCAAGTCAAGTAGGAGTGCTGCTGCCATTTCTTGATTGCCTCGGACGAGATTTGGAGAGATTGGAACCGGAAATGTGCAGTACAAATATCACGTCCTGGGACAAAGGCATATTGGTCTGTATGGAGCAACTTGGGTAAAATTGAGTGTAGCCTTCTAGATAAGATTTTTGGTCCGAGCTTGGTGTCAATATTTAGTAGCGTGATTGGCCGATAGTTACCGGGTACATTTCGGTCACTGCTCTTGTATAAGAGCGAGATCTTTCCTCTTCTCTGAGACTTGGTCATTTTGCCGAGTTAAAATTGAGACGAGTATGTCACTTCTAGTACCTTGCCCCAAAGATGGATGTCCACCGGGTAGTATGCAAGCGGAAGATCGTCTGGACCTGGGGCCTTGCTGGGCGTGGTGTGTTTCAGTGCATAGTAGAATTTGTTCGCAGTGAACGGACTATCTAGCTTGTGCTGGTCTTCTTCTTTTAATCTGGTCTTGGTGTGCTGGAGGTTTCTTGATAGCTTGAGTGGGTTCCACTTTGGTTTTATATGGGATTACTCACGTAATGGCGAGCAATAGATACCACTCCAGTACCTATTAAATTCTTTGCACACAGAATTTAAGTCTTCCGCCGATTGTACTGGAATAATGATCTTGTGCAGGAGCAGCCAGTCTTAGAGCATCCGGTTTGTAGTACTCTTAGCAGAAAGAAAGGTGTATGGTTTCCCGCGAGTACTTGGAAGTACTGACTGACTGAGTCGAAAGCATTATCAGGTATACATTCGTAGGGGTTTTTAAGAGCTCGTTGTTCTAGGAACTGGAATTTGCGTCGTAATTGTGGCTACGTCTACTCTATCAATAACGTGCATGATTTGCCTCATGCCACCATCTCCATTTTGAGACAGAAAGCTGGCATAGAGGAGCGCAATTTACTCTCTATCACTTTTTCGTCTATGTGCTTTGCACAAAAGAAGGTGTTTATGAAATCACATTATCCACTAGGATGGGCCATCGGTGCTTCACGCAATATTTCCTTCCAGAAATCAAGTCAATAAAATGATGAATGTGTGGCGAGAATATTATGCGTCTCTTGTCAACAAGTCATGGTATGCCTTCAACAATGAAAATGAGACTCGTCAGATCCCTGTGATAAGATGATCTTCAAACTGCACTCAGTGCTATCCTAGTGTCCAGCTCATCCATGACGAATGATTTCAGCTCTTCTTTTGAGGTAATCAGTATCTACTCAATGGTCTATTTGGGGTACCATGATCTATCCGTTGCAATTATTAAATTAAGAGCACTCACCTGGTATAAAGAAGGCTACTGCCCCCCATAAACTCTACTCACAAGTACATACAATCCGTTACTTGGAAGCTTTTTATAACCCAGAGATGCTGCCTCAGCTTGTACTCCACGCCGTGAAATAAGTGTGGCTAGGATCGACTATCGCGGCTCGCAGTCTTCCATTTTTACCCTACGTCAGTGCCTTCAAAACGATCCAGCCTATCTAGATCTCTGAAGACCGCTACTACGGTCGCTTTCTTTTGTCTCAACGAAGGCAATCTTTGGATATAACGTGTATTTATACATCTAAATAGAAACTATTTTAGCCCTTATATTCGAGCGTTCTCGATACAATTCAAGCGATGGTGCTTATCATATCGGGCATTACCGCGTCCCGCGCTAGAACTATTGCATCTTCGTGCCCGCGCCAAAAGCACCGAGTAGGCCGTCCTGCACTTACCGACTACCGTGAAATTCTAGGGCGAATTATTAAAATTATCTTATTAAAAAAAATTGCCAAATCAAAATTTTAACTACCTAACGCAAGTAGGACAAATAAATTCTGTATTGCGAATATAATGAGAGATCTGCTCTTGCTATTGTACCTCACCCTTATTTGCGCTTGACCTGATCAAGATAAGAATTCGCGTGAGCTGGTGCGTCAGGATGACAAGCGTTAAAGCTTGAAAAGATTTTACATAAAATGTAACCTTTCGGGCTCTTATTATGTGATAGAATTTTGTATGCGACCCATATTCTGACGTCCACCATTTACACACCTTTGAGTTAAATTTGGTCTTCCAGCAAGCCACTAATGTTTTTTAATGCATTATGAACCTTTATTTTTCGATAGCTGCTAACCTTGACCGTGAATATTACGAGATATAAAAAGTTTGTCAAGAAGCAACATGGATTGTCAATTTTGATTAGATAAAATAGCAAGATATTGCTGGGCGACATCCTTGTTTATCAAAATAGCACAATCTGGCTCAGGCTTCGATCTCACGAGAGCGTTTATAGTAATCTTAGCCAACAACTTTATCTTAATATCCCACTTGACCTTAGTTCGTAACGTAGCTTAATAACGCTCTTTTTGCATAATACAAGTCTACATCGGACTAATTTGTAGATTTAAGTCCCTAAAAGAGAGTTGGTGACCATTCTTTAGCAGCTGTCGATCTACACAATGGAAACTAAATTTAAGCAAATAGTCTGGTAGTCTTGCAGCAGCAGGCTGAATGCAAAAAGTTTCTCTGGCAAACATATGCCAGAGTCGCCTGATATTACAGGCTTCGTCCTCGCTCTCTTGGAACTGTATCCGCGATAGAGATCTCAGCATTCAATGGATTACTGGCTCTCATCTTAGAATAAGCAAATTCAACTATTGAGAAGTCTCTCTGTCTTAACACACGCGGGCAATCACGATCCCCAATACTATTCTTCTAACAATACTATTCTTTTGGATCGCTATCAAATAAAAATAGTCGCTTGTAATACAGAGTCGATGTATCCAACACAATCTGGAAATTAATGACAGCAATTTCATCCGCTCACTAGACGAACATTTTGTGTATTGAAAAGTGCCTCTATTGATCGAAAATTCGAAGTTGTTCCCTAGAGCAGAATGTATACAAAATTTATTTGGTTTATACTTCATGTGTACCACTCCAAATTCAAGTTGCTATGTACGCATCAAACGTGGTGTCCATATATAGTGGTAAATATTACTTTGTGCCGAATTCTCATAGTATAGATCGCAATGGCAAAGTCAATGTATCGTAACTATAAGAACTTTACTTTTTTCTTCCTCGTTTTTGCCTGATTTAACATATGTGTGGATACACTTAAGGCAGTCTTTCACGCTACTGTATTATATCTTGTTGTTCTTTTTTGGGTCCAAACATTGTAAGCTGTTAAATTGATGCTTTATCGAATTTTATCCTTATGGTTGTGTCAGCATTAAACACACACATTTATTGCGCTCTAGCCTTATTAGGAAAATGTGGTCATCTCAATTCTAATTGATTTACAAAGGCATTATCTTTCCAGCTTATTGTCTGAATAATTGTCTTTTCCTTAATAGTTATTTCGGTGCATCTCTCGTATAGAAACTTCCTGATCGTAATTGTACAGTAAACATACTGTTTACGAGCGTCTAATATTTACGAAGTGATGTCATCTTGTTAAATTTATTGTGCAATCCTTGTCCTTGATGCGTAATGTTTTACTAATGCCAAGTCCTTCTACTCCAATGTGTTAAAAAGAACAGGTTGGATCACAAGATCAAACGTAGGTTATCCCATACGTGCGAAAATCAGACGTTTTGACTTTTATAAGCATAGAATGACAATGATATTTGGGTGAGCATCGATTAAGTCGAGGGTGCGATCACGCAAATGAGGTTCAGCCCAGCTGTATTGCAATTTATTGTTACATACAGTAAGGCAGAAATGCTTTGTGATGTGTTTCTTTCTCTTTTGCCCCAACTATGCGAGGCACGCACAGGATTTTTTCGTCCCTCGTTAAGTAGGCTGATCCCCAAGATGAAAACGAGTCCAATTTGGACTTGAACTGTCCAAGCGATAGCAAGCTTTCGCAACAAGACGAGCAAAATCAAGCAATTCAAGTTGAGTCGACTCAAAGGTTGAATAATAAACTTATAGGAAGCGCACAAGTCAAGAAAAACAACTGTATCAAGTAATGCAACAGATCAACAATATATTGATTATATTAAAGGGCCTGAAAAATCAGTTGGAAAAGACGACAGTGGGAAGGATTCACATGGGATATCATTCAAGATCATCCTTGATCACGATCAACTGCGTTCATCTCATGCTGTCCCGACCTTGACACATCCGGCTTCTATAGTACAGGCTATTATTGATTACAGGTGTCTCCTAATCGTGCAGGTACTATGCAGTGAGGTCACTTGAGCTTATATATCATATCTGCTAAGCGTATGCGTTCTCATAGTAGACTCGTTTAACAGATGCACAGGATCCGTTCGCATCGACCAAACGGACCGCTGCATCTCGCAATCTCCGACGTAAACTCAATTATCAACTTGTCGGCCTCCAGTCACAAGCTCTTTTTTTCTTAACATACAATGGATCGCCTATTAAACGACGCACCACCCGAGGACGCAAATGACGAGATTGTCATCAAAAGCGAAGTCACTCTCGCACCGAGTGCACTCAGTCCCAGCACCTCAGCTGCAAGTCTCGGTTTGCGCATGCTTTCGATGTCTGCCGCCGCGTCCTCCTTGAGAAACCATCCGTCGGTTCCTCCGCGTCTTCCGCCTATTAGTTTATTGACGTCTGCAGCCGCGACTATGCGGCCCACACAGTACCAGTCAATACACATGCGTGCACCGCCACAGAAGCAGTTCGAAACGTCTTTACCACCTGCTTCTGCTTGTCAGGGCACTCTCATAGATATGATGTGTCGCTATCGCAACAAAAAATGCGGATATCCACGCGCTATTAAACGCAATGGCGAGCGTCATAATCTATGTGAACGCCATCGTGCCAAGGCCAATCAGAATCAGCGCAAGCTTGAAAGTAAACGGCGTACACAAAAGCGCATGATGCAACGGACACACTCCATCGGGATTGCAAAGACTACCAAACTTGACGCACTAAGTGAGATCAATTGTACATTTTACAGCGGCATGAGGACAACTGGGTGTTAAGGTTAAGGACTCTAGATAAACGGCTTTCGTTTCATAATGGTCCTGTGTTATAATTTATTAATAAAAAGCTGAATTTCACTGTCTAATTGTATATGAGCCTCATAATTCGATTTACATGTCAATATTATAATTTGAGACAAAGATAGAGAAACAGTAAGTATACACTCATATCATAATCCACTCAATGATGCTACAGCGATTTGCGTTTCATCGTATACAATGCACGTTATTGTATTTTGACCTATTTCATTATTGTTGAGCAGTACTATATCAATGTTTCATGATCAACTACATTTCATCGTTAGCTGAGTACTAAGTGATAAGCCGTTCGAGATTGCAAACCGTTAAAAAAAAGTTCAAGATACAGTTATGCTGTCAGATTGGACATGGAGACCAACTAGATCAAGCGTAAGCACGTGTTCTTGAAGACGTTTGCTTCTGTCGTTGAGGATGTATACGCTTGAGGTTGAGTATATGTGCGTCTCACTCTTAATTATATCCTGCGAACCCAATATTTGTTTATCGTAAGCTTATCAATTTATGTAGCGTAATTGTGAATACCATAATAAAATAGGAAGATTAGGATCCGTGTCGAACATGAGCTGGGTGGGACACAAATAAGTAGCTAACTCCGCTGCTGACGCGGCTGCACAGTAGTCATCTATACGATGATGCCTAAAACTGAGGATTTCTGTCTGGAAGATGCGTGGTACCCAAATGATCCACTTCCACCAAGATATACCTACTAACTTGGGAGAATCACTAATATTTCTGACTCGTAACGACATCAACTTCGTAGAAGTAGTAAGAACGAACATGTTACTAGCGAAAAGGTTGGTAGGAAGACGTAGCCAATTTCGACAACGTCGTGAGCCAGTAAAGATTCACGAAAGGGATAAGGCGGAGCCTAGTCCGACTTAAGTTCACGCATACTTTACGAATTGTGGTGACAGGAATTGCGACTTGACAATCGAACAAAGCTTTCGGACTCAGAAATTGTAGCATTAACAGTCAAAGCTGCGTTGATGCTTAAACACCACATTGAAATGCCGTGCCGACTCTCGTAACACGTGCGCTATCGCCAAGAACATTGTTTTGCTTGTCATCTTTAGCACAGCCACGAACGTGAAGCATATTTTTAACACCAAAATTCTTTTCGTGACCAAACGTACCTGGTAATTTTCTATATCACGTTCATGTAAAAATGCTTCTTGTTGGACTATTTGGCATGCAATCTCAGGCCTCACTTGAACAGACGTCCATGTCTCACTTAACTAATGCGAGTTCAGTGCGCCCCTTTTGCGTCGGATGCACGACCGTCAATTTCGCTTTCTTGTCATCCAAAACACTCGTTAATGACGCTCCTGGCTTTCTTGAGTGAACTTATTAAGAATCCATTGGTTCCTGCTTCGAGAATGCGATGTAACTATCCGTTTGCCTCCTTTGGCAGAGCCTCTGATTAACCAACGTGATGAGTTGTCCGTGTATAAATGCAGACTCTTCTTCTTCCCGAAGTAAAACTGCTGAAGACTTGGCAGGCTGAATCGAAGATGACGATGTCGACGTCGCTGGGTTGACATCCAATTAATAACCCAATGGGCGACATCCTGCGCTTGTTTTACCTGGTTGAATGCACGTATACCGTATTCTATACAGTGTCTCTCCAGAAACTGAAGATTAGACCGGAAGCAATCAACATCCAAAATACGCATCATACTTGTTAAGGTGCGATATATGCGGTCGGCATTATTGATTTTTGTCTGGATCCAAATCTTCGCGAGACATTGGACTATGAGTTGTACTCCTCTCCGTCCTTTGTACGCAAACCGTGCAAGCAGCTTTTCGAGGAATACCAGAAAGTAGTTAAATATCTTCACTGTCTGGTCTTGATCATGAAAGCTCACAAGGTATTGTTTTTGGTTTAGGTTGAGCGGCATGTTTGGGGTCTTGAAATTGCTGCAGATGACAGCGCCCACTTGGTGAAATGACGCATTTCTCGCAAACTCCTTCTCCCCCAATACGTTCAGTATATGACAACCAATTTGTCTCTCATATCCGTCAGCGCTATGCTGCAAATTGGATCACTAGCGCGACGCTTGGTTGTGTCGAAGCTTAGATGCTTGAACGAAGTGCCTCAGTGACCCATGGTGCACGGTCTTCGAACGACCTTCGCGCTCATCACAATGTCGCACAATAAATCCGGACACAAGTACGTGGTTCTTGAGCGTATCACACGACATGCCTTCTCTTCTTCCAACCAAACGGACGCTTTGCTGGTTTAGTACACAGCCGCAACTCACAAGGTGCCCGTCTGAGATTAAGTTTACTGCCAGTTGCGGTACGCAGTACACATTGGTGAGCTTTATTTCAACCTTGATTCCTTTTATAATCAGTGTGATTGTAATCCTTAACAACCTGGTGACTCTGAATAAATTGCCATCAGGTAATGTGCTGGATTCTCTTTATCAGTGCAATCATCATCCACTTATTGCATCTCCACTTTCCGTCAAAATGTCGACTTGCATTGCTATCAAAAGCTCTATCTTTCTAGCCAAGGTTGTCTTTGAGGTCTCTTGTCGTCGCGCAACAGTGTCTGGTTTCACCGCAATCATAATTCTTTGTGATCGCGTAGATCAAATTCGATTGGTATCTCTGTCCGCGTGACTGCCAGCGCACGTAACACTCAGCGTGAGCCAGATAGACGAGATGTCTTGCGCGGAATTTGGCAAAAATATCGTCGTTTTGTCGGAAGAGGCGAAGATGACTATCAGGCAACAGAGCAGATGATTATTCAGCTACCATTATAGAAATTTCACAAGCCTGCTTGTAAGAAGATATTTTCAATACGCGACCTCAAGGTTGCTCAAGACGCAATCGAACAAAGCGTTTGTCATCTATTAACGATCCGTTGAATAAGTAACGTGTGGTAGGAACGCGTAATGTCGCGCCGGCTTGAACATCTCCGTCCACCGAAATGCTCGGCCATATCGACACGCACGAAATACTGCCCTCCCCGAACGAAACCACCACCGCCTTTCAGGTCGTCATGCTGACAAGTGGCGGTCCTTACCGGTCGAAATTCAACGGCGTCGCCGCCGCGTTATATGACCATAAACTTTTGATGCTGTATATTTCTCGGCTTCGCATACAATCTGTATCCATGTACAATACTCTTAGGCAACATATAACCGCGACCTTGTGTTTTACATACCATGACGTACTAAGGACATATGTGTTGTCGAAAGTCGGCCGACATTGCCCACATATGATTTGAATAAACGGATTTCTTGGATTTAAGAAATTCGGGTCGAGGAGGAGAAGGGATGAAGTTCACTCTCGATGATTGTTTTTGAACGTGGTTGCCCGCTCGAAAAGATAGCGAACACTTGCTGCTTGAGCTTTTGCCAATGAGATGGTATGGAAAGTCGTTTGTACCGCTACTAAGTTATACTTTCAAACTATAACTTCATGATCTACGATTACAATGACATGAACCTGAGTTTGATTTAAAGATTTAGTTGTGACAGTTTTGAAGTCAAATTGCGTATAAAGCGTGACTAGCAGCGAGAGGCTTAAGTCAATGGCAGCGGAAAAGCTATACTATGGTTATCTTTCGACACGAAGACTCAAATGAAACAATCAATTTTTGTATCAGGCGTGATCTACTTTTCATCGTTTCGAAGCCAACTGCACGTAAAACAAAAGTTAATAGCTAACGAGGTATGAAAATCAACGATACGACGTAGTCAAAAGCACTCGGATACACAAGCTTGGTAAAGTTTCATCAATCGAAATCAACTTTATTAGTTTCCAGCATATTTATTGTACTCCAGGCAGTAACTGCGGTATCAATACTCATAAGTATCGTGGTTTTCCGAGTATTTTACTCTGGTTTATTAGAGCACCTCAAGTTACTGCGAGAATGAAGACTTGAGTATTTGCAACGCCAAATTCGTCAGGTCATTCTATCTTTTATTATTAATTGTACAACCCATGTGGCTTCTCTACCGCTGTAATTTAACATTCTGTTTGAGTATAATTTGATTTTATCTTTTGATTAAGCAAGTAGCACAGCAAACACCATCATTCTAAATATTAACTTTGTTTTCTATCGACTATAATCCTGTGCTTGTCAATCAGCAAATATCGTAAGAGCCAAAATCCGATGAATTACATGTTTTAAGCTTTAAGCTCTTTAATGCATTATAATCGCATTAAACAGTAACCAGGACTAAAATTTTCCGAGATTTATATGTACATTCGGGAATAAGTCATGATTTTAGCTACGTCGCTTTAGTGGACAAAGAATTGCCAATATTCTTTGTATAGGCTGATGTTAGAATAAATCGATAAAGTGGTTCACATAGCTGGTTCGAATATGTCCAGCTTGTTATCAGCTATTATATTTGTTAAGATCCAGTCCGAGCAGCTGATGCCGCAAGTGATTCGGCCGCAATCGACCTCATTAATCATTTACTCATTGATCAAGTAGCAGCATGCGATTCTTCCTTGTCGTGCTAATATTTGCGGCATTTACGATCACAAGTGGCACAGCTTCGTTTCGAGGCACCGATGATATCAAGACAAGATCACTTCAACAGTTTGAGACCACAAATGTCAACACCAACTCGCTGGATAACCTGAAAGAGAATACAGGCAAAGCTGCTCACCTCAACAGTGAAGAAAAATATCTCTATATCCCGTGGGCCGCTAAACTTTTTCGAAGTTCCAAGCCATTGACCTATGAAAAGTGGCTGAAAGCTCCCCTTACCTAGATTCGAATTGATGGAGACATGCAAAATCTCAAATTTAGTGTAAGGTGGCCATCATGATAGTCTTTATCGCAGTATTGTGAAATACGATGACGATAAGTCGTAGTCATACTAGTATAAGCTGTCAATATAAAGAATGTTCATGTTAAAATGAAATTGTTTCGTTGTTGAGGATGATACAAGCAAGCGATCGCCGAGTACAATCGTGCGGCATGTATGAACAGCGCCGATTGAGCAACAGCAGCACCCGATGGTGGTCATTGGGAGTATGTATTGTGGAGAATTCTCAATCACCACGCTGACCATATAATCGGTAGTGACTTTGAAGCAGCGATCCATGACATACGTAGTAGTTAATATGATGTTGTATCACGACATCGCTCCACCACTGCGCTGTTACATGCATAATGACCTCAATGTCATTCTTGCAAGACTTAAGTATCAAGTCAAATTGGCTATTTCTCGTTTCTGTTGAGACTTTCATACTGGATGTAGGTCCGAAGGAAGATAGTAGAATGTAGCAATGTAGCTACTGATTTGAATCATATTGACCATACAAATTTCCGCTGGTCGTAATGTCGTCGCTGGTCGTAATTGCGCGGCATTATTAAGTCAAGAAGTATCAGTAAATATGCTTGATTCATCGCTTGGAATGCCGTCTATTGCGTACCATTCGTCTCCAATTAGGAGCCAAGCTCAAGGTTATGGGGTACCACCGTAGTCTGACTGACGGAAAACTGAGTGCAATAAATGTATCCAAATGTTTTGCCTATAAAGTGTTTGTAGGTCAACATGGCGGTCGAGTGGCGAGCCAGACTGCCTGAAAACTGCAAGAATGATACATTACTCGAGGTGAACCATAACCTTGGAAATTTCGCGAGCAGTACGGAAAGCTGATGAGGTGGTGGTAGCATCCGCAAGACAGTCGCTTCAGATTTTTGCATGGTAGGAATGCCACTTCGACAGAGGAACTGCACACAAACTTCTGGCTTGGAAACCCCTCGATCGACACGTCATTACTGCGTCCGAAGCATAATTTATCACCACCGAAACAAGAGACAATTCCTATCGCTGTCATCAATTGGCCAAGCGATCAGCATAAGCGACTCAAGTCGGAGTACCACCAACGCCTGATTATGACCTTCTTGAGAGTGTTCCACCAACGTTTTCTCCTGGTCAGTAATCACTTCAAGACATTTCATTTTGTCAAGCGTGCTATCGCCTCGCGACCACTTGAGGACATAAGGTCTTTCAGCGTTTTGAGTAGTCCCGAGCACAGGTAGTTCTGCAACTTGTGTTCAATCCTTTTAAATTATCTACACCTTTTATGACTTGTCGTCGGGTTGACCGCTTGTGTTATAATGCGAGAAATGGTCACCGCACACCTGCAGCTTTTAATCTAAGACTCCGCTGTGGTGAGGAGCATAACCAATAACCTTTCAGAGCATCGATGCTGTTTTGAATTTGAAAGTAACATACATTTTGGATATAGTCTAACTCAAGTCTAATTCTAACTGCATCAATTTACTATGTTCATTAAAGTACGTATAACATGACGTAGGTTGACCTAAGCTTACTGAGAAGAGCTGCACAGTGTGGGTGAAGAGGTCAGCAAGGCTATAACTGATTTACTATTAACTCCAGCTCTTACTAACACAATTAATCAGTCTCACCGACTTGCAATTCATTATATGAATAACTAAGTAAGAACAATATCAATTTCTATAACATTTTCTACCCGTACTGATCATTTTTGCCTAGGACTACCTACGTCGCAAGTTTGCCCCAAACGTGAGAGGCTTGATGTTTCGCACCGTGGACATGTTAGTCGGTGTTTATGATTTTGCACCCGTAACATTCATGAGTCCGAGCAAAAGTGCATGGCACATACCTTGAGTCGCCTACCTCCTTGACTCGAAGCGTTCTTTGTAAGGTATGACGCTCTCTGTGAAGGTGTCTTTTGCACCTACATTTGAAATTATACACTGTGATAGTAAAGAGAATTTTCTCCAGGATCTGGATTTACAGAAGATTTGAGTATTGAGATAGTGTGGCTGTAACGGGGTACGAGGCCGTTATACAGTTTGTTGATTCACAACAACTTAGTCACTAATTAATTACGTGGGCACTACGCTAATTAGTAGGTGGTTACAAGTAGGTACTCATATTCTTAATTTAGATTAGATTTTGCATAAAACCACATACAATATATTCAGTCTTCATTTGATCAAGAGATGCACACACGCTTGTGGTTAAAGGGGCGCGTACGGCAGCAACGCAAGAAGGTCAAGTCTTATAGTAAAGCTATCTCAGCGCAAGAGTACGTGTGGCCAGAGGTCCCGTTACACCTGGTAGCACTTTGTAAGCAATCCACCGCCGTCATTATAGATGTCCGACTCCAGTTAATAGATTGACTTCCTAGCCCAAATGTTACCGTTGGACCACTACAAATATCTGTATTTGTCTGGCGCGGAATGGGTCGTCGTCAGCAAGATTTCTCGAATCTTTGGTGGTGAAGCCACCATTTGATTGTTACACCACGACCAAGATGTGGTCAAAAAGCACGTCGCTCGTTCATGGATTATGAAGCTGATCTTGTTGAACAAGTCTCGACAAAGGCCACAAGATACCTTTCGTCCGAGCTGATCGTCATGGCATTCATGGTATATCGTGTTGCCCTGTCGCTCCGAATTTCACCGACCCCCGGTTGTCTGAAGATGCCGCCATCTCCACGAAGCGAAGCCGCAACAAAATTCGCTGAAGATTGCGGTTAAGTCTTTCTTCGGAAAGCAAGTGGATATGACATTGGCGGTGGCGCTGGCTCACAAGGAACAGCAGAAGATCGTGTTTGCAAGGTGTGTCCTTAAAATATGTTTTCAGGCGGTAGATTAGCCTTCCTGCTTATTTCTCTTCTTGGAAGTTCTCCAAGAATTGATGGCAAAGATGTATCTTTCACCGGATGCGTCGTTTCAGAATTGTACGACGTTTTTGAAGTGGCGCCAGAGCAAACGTTCGATCTAAGACTTCGTACAAAAACATTGCAAATTGCGAGCGTTGCTGTCCGACAATTCAATTCCGGAAGACATGACGGTCAACGTATTTATGGAGGGACTCAAGATTGACCTTCCAAGACGAAGTCGCTCGTCGACAACCGACCAAACTTGAAGATGCAATCTTTGTCGCCCTTCAGGAGGATTAGCTCCAGCGACAATCGTATGATTGACCCAATAGCTCCACCGACGTGCAGCCACTGTCAAGTGGTAGTCCTGAGCCCATAAAAATGTACGCGATTGATCGCCAACAGGTAGCATGTTATGGTTGTGGCCGAAGAGAATACATCAAACGGACTGCCCGACAAAGCTTCATGGGTTCAAACCCACGGGCGTATTGCCAGCTGACTCTACTCGTGGTCGAGGAGAATGGCGCGGTGCCAGTCAGCTTGGTGGCCCTTCGGCCAATTTCGGCAGCGGTCGAGGAGGCACATCCCTCAGCAACTTCAATTTATTACACTTTCGGTGTGTTTCCTCCGTCGTCAGAAAACGCGCAGGCCCAGTTGGCGCGGGGTGGCCTACTGAGATAGAACTAGCGACTTCTCCTGCACTAATATTGTGCAGGGGAAGCCATTGGCCTTAGGAAAGTTTGACTTCTCACAAAGATGAAGAGAAAAGGATTCCTTCTTGTTGTTTTGGCAACGGTCAAAAGTACCCTTCAGAGCACTTATTGACTCTAGAGCGTCAACTTCTTATGCTTAGAGGAGGATTATCGCGAAGAATCCTCTCCTCTTCGATGCAGCATGTGCAATAATGATAGTATTCATGTCCGTCTGGCGGGTGCGATTGTTACGCAACAGAAGATCGAAGTCGATGCACGAGTCAAGTTCTTGGACTTTGACTTCAAGCCGACGTTCTCCGTCATCGACATGGGTGATCGGGATGATCTCATACAAGAATATGTGTGGTTAGAAGACCACGAGCCATGGATCGACTGGAGAACAGGCGTGTAGCTCACCGGGTAAAGTCACACCTACGAATGCTATGACCCGTCTGTGCTATCCAATAGCGCAGTAACTTCGCTATTGAAGATGGAGCTCATTAATATTGGCAATTGCTACATAGTTGTGAAGCTACAAGTCACCAGGAAGGCGCGATTTGCGACGGTAGTTGTTCAAAAACAAGTTTTTGCTCCAGTATATATATCTACTGTGGAAATCGTGGTTATTGCTACTGTGGAAGCCCTCGCTCTGGTGACTAAATTCATCGTGGAAGCTCATCACGCTCTAATAGCGAAAGCTCTTGTTCCAATATTAAAGTCTGTTGTGGAAGCCCATTATGCTCCAAATGTTAAGTTACTGTGGAATCTAATGCTCCAGTAGATAACACCACCGTGGAAGCACGTTATGCTCCAAAAGGCAAATCGATCGTGAAGGCAACAGTACACTATATTGTTGAAGCACCATATACCTCAGTAGAGAGCACTACTACGGAGATTAAGACTCCAGAAGCTAGCTCTACTGTGAGAGCACATCATAATTTGATAATATGAACTATCGTGGAATTTTAAGCTCCAGTAGATAACACTACTGTGGGAGTCCCCAAGCTCAATTCCAACGCTCCCGTAGTCGGATCAATCGTGAAAGCTAATGTTCTAGTGGTCCATAGCACTGTGGAGGCACAAGATTTAGTTTTGAACGCAGTGACGGGATTACCAGACCAGGCTCAAATGGTCCCACTGCCAGAAATATATGCTCTCACGCACATGGAAGTTCTAACCTTCCTCATGTATTTTAAAGACCCCGATAATGGCGCGCTCGCCGAAGTCGTTTTGATATGTCGTGCAAGCGCAGCAACAGAGGCATTCAATACGTTCTTAGTCTCAGATCCAAATGTTGTCAAAGATTTCTACATCGATTTGAATCACAACTGAATATATTATTCTCAAGAATCTACTTCGGTTGAAATCACAAGAATTCGCGCATTCATTATTTCCTTCATATGTCTAAGTGCACGTCAACGTATTTGAGTCCGGAGCTTCCACGCAGTCTTCCGCCAGATCGTGGTATACGACACGAGATCGATATTGAGCCAGGTGCAGGATTTGTGCTATTGCGTCAATGGTTATTGCCAACTGAGCAATCTGGAGTTGATAGACTCCTTCCTGCGCACTAAACAGCTACAGGGGTGGTTGAGAAAGAGAGTAAATCTCTTCACAGTGAGCCAGAGCTTTCCACTCGCAAAACCAATCGCAAGTGCCGCATTGAACACGCATACAACAAGTTAAACGCCAAATTGTGCCAGCACAGACCCCTATCCTCGCAGAGATGCCATTATCAACAAGATTACTGACTCAAAACGCTTCAGTGTACTTGATCTTTTATGGCAACAATCAAGTTTTAATGAATTCTCCATCAATCCCGTGTACAGCAGTGAGCACATCTAGCGATAGTGGCTTTTGATGCCACAAGTCTAATTCGCGAGCGTAGTTTAACCATCTCGTTACGCATTTATTCTGTCCATTGCGATCGCATCGATGGAGTTTATTTTGAAGACCTGGAATTGTATTGGCGTGTATGACTGAACATCAGCTATTTGCCAGCATTGAATAATGTATATTCGGCGCAGAAGAAGTACCAGTTTTGGGATGTTCTGTCAGCGTAGACTGTGTTCCGTCAGACCAAGCAAAGATCAAAGCGATCACAAAGTGGCCGACGTCAACTAACCAAAAGGACCTAAGAAAATGGTTGGATTTGACCAACTATCTCCATAACTATGTTAATATGACCCGCCCATTATCCGACTTGTTAAAGACAGGTCAAGACTGATAATAGACAAATATTTTATGTAGCCACCTTCGACGACTTCAAGTACAGCTTGCAAGCAGCACCTAATTTGGCATCACCAAATGACAATTTACCGTACAGTGTGGCGTGACGCCTCCAATTTTTCGATCATATGTGATTTGCTGTACCAAGATGTCAGTGGACAGGACCGTGCCATCTCGTGTTAGTTGAGGCAGCTGAAATGAATAACCCCGATTATGACAATATCTAGAGTTCTCCTCTTGGGCCCCAAGCCATTCGTCTTCATACCGACCACGAATCGCTGCGTACAGCAACGTAAGCGTCACAATTTTCACAACGGATGACTCGTTGGTTGTTTTTCTTTGCAGAACACGTGGCTTAGAAGCCAGGCAAATTGAACATCTTGGTAGATGTCTATTCGGCGTCCCGATTATGAATTATTCGTGATTTTCCAAGCTACTTCCAGCCAAACGACCCAACTTGTGCAGTTATTCTTAAGTGGTTGACAAGTACGGATATTTCAGTCTTCTCGACATTATTCCGGCGAGCTCGTGGTCGACCTTATCGATACTCCCTCCAGGACGGGTTATTGTACTACCAATTTTACGAAGGAGATGACTCTCGGGTTTCGTACCCGACAACAAAGACTTGAAGCAAAATATTGAGAGCACACGATTCGCCTATCGCAAGTCCACTTTTGTCGGCCCAAAATGTATGCTTGGGTTGACAAGTACCTTAGAACGAGTGAAGTTTGTCATCGTGTGAAGCCCTTCTCACACAGGCA